AACCTACCGCAAATTAACTATTTTACTGTGGATTCTAATTGTAATACACGTTTCAAATGATGCCGAAGTAACTAAACTGATAACGGTTTAGTAAAAAAACCAAGCTGTCCCTGTCAGGATTCGACCGTATTGCACTTCATTTATTGTCTTGGTTGATTCTGTTGGCTTATATTTTATTTGATCAATAAGGTATTTATATTGTTTTTCCCTTTTGAAACAGATGTTCAGTTATGCTAAAGTCTTTGATTGCACTTCAAGTCTAAAGTTTACATTTTCTACTGAGAAACTGTGCCTTGAATATTTTATTTTATTTAGCAAGAGAGTGCACTTTACCCAGTGAAGAAACCAGTGTTAACGTTTGTTGTGTAGGGTGTAGGCCTTCACCAACACTGAGGAAGCCATATCAAAATTCCTGTTGAATTGTTCATTCAGGGATTCATTGCAGAATTAAAACCAGCTTGAAATGGTATTTTGGTCTGTTACTCCTTTTTATTTTATTTTTTGTTACCTTGTAGGTGGTTGTACTGTTAAGTAACTTGAAAAATAACCATAATAACCGACATGAAAACATATCGTGATAAATATCGTCTATCGTGATATTATATTTTTCAATATCGCCCACCCCTATTCTGAGCCCTCTAGCCTTTCAAAAACTCCAAACCTTCTTCTTTTACTTTTTAAAAGTCTGAAAGCTGTTGTCTCGCTGTAAGCTGTTAGAAAATGTGCAATTCTTGTTGAAGCAGAAATTACACACAAAAAAAAAAAACGGAGGTTGAATAACTACCAAAGTATGCGCAATAGTATAATAGTATGATAATATACAATTAGCACACATTTGAACCAAAGCAAGAGAGAATAATAAGCTGCCACGTTTTTGGTTGGAGTACACAATTAACACCACGTCTATGATTTGGGAGGATACATGAGAAATGCTGTATTCTTGTGCATTAATGTTTTTCAAGTTTCTTTCATTAATCTGCCCTGATGTGGGCATGGTCTTCATGCTAATTGAGCTTGTTGGCACATGGTGTTACACCTCTGCATTCTGCTTTTACAATAACTAACATTCAATACTGCAAACTAGCCTTTCCTATTGTGTAGTAATGGAATCATTTGAAACACTTAAGCTGTGATGTCCTGCAGTTGATTTCCATTACTGATGCATTTCTGTTGCTGTTGCATGTCACGAATGTTTGCTAAATTGCTTTGGTTTCAACTGGTTCTTTATTCTCTCCTTTTTTCTTTGCTTATGCACTCTGATATTTTGGTTTTGTCCCCCAGCAACACACTATTCATGTGGTGGTGAGTTGTATTTTTCACAACTTGGATAGTTTCATTTTTGCAGTAGCACTGTCTTCTCTGCATGTCTGTCCCTGTCTAATCTGTTTCCGAGTGACCTCACAGATCACATGAATGTCTCCTTGGCTAAATGACACTGGGATGGGCACAATGGGAGCCTTTATGTTGGATAGAGGGAGAGAAGAAATAGAAGACTTTGTTGAAGTCTATGTAACCAGATCAGAAATATTTGTCATACTAATGAAGTCCTGAACCCTCAGTTTATCAGAGTTGATTCCCTCCCACTATCCTCGGCAGAAATGCTCCTGTTATTGTCTCTTACCACAAGATAAATGGAATTGTGTATTGGCTTGCTTATTATTTAAATAGCCTTATTTGCTTTTCAAAGTTGTCATAAATTCCTCGACATTTTGTTAAAAGTACTAGTGTGTAAATTGGTTTTAGATTGTGTCATTCTATAACTTGTCGTGAGTTGTGTTTTATTTTCATTATGCAGAATGCTTGATCTTGCTTTCCCCCCTAAATTCACTCAGGAAAAATATGGTCTTGGAACCAGACTGCAGAGGCAGAGGTCCGGAGCCCCCATCTCAGGCCTGTCCGGCCTTACGTGAGTGCTTCTTTGTCACACAAAGCAAATTACATCTGCTTATTACCTCAATACTACATGCATATTATTGGTGACTTAGATACATTGATTTCTTACCATCCAGCAGCCATTGTTTCATTCATTTCAGTGTGCCATGAAAATCAATTTGTAAAGCCTTGAAACTTGGCTTGAGACACAAAGGTAATCCATCACAGTGAACGCTTCGTCACTCTTATTGTTTCTCAAAGTTCCATCATCGCCTTGTAGTAATACATTTATGAGGGGTAACCCTTTTCATATTACACAACCGGGAAACATTCAAGGACCCTGCTTAAAGATGAAAGTTAATAATTGGCTGACAAAAGGCACTTTTTTGACAAAGTGCGCTGTCAGATCCAGGAAATGCATTTAAAAAAACAAAGGAACCATGAAAAGAAATGTGTGAAGTCAGTCTCCTGTCTCAAAAAGGTTGCCGTTCTTCTAGTCATCTAGAATCTTGGACCTTGAAGTTGCCACAACTGAGTTCTTAAAAGTAATTTTTTTCTTAAGTGTATCACTAGGCAACTTAAACGTCCTGAAATACGGCTCCCTAGATTGTACTAACTGATCCTAAAGCCTTACTTTATGCGGGGTAAATGCCCAGTAGCTATGTAAGATACATATTTGCAGGTCATTAGTTGTTGAAGGATTACTTTACCCACAATATTACCATTTGCATAGCAAATACTCACATTGTGTTGCCTTGATTTTGCAAAGAAATCGTTTTTCGTAATGCCTACACCGTGAATGAAGACACAATGCATGTTGCTAAAACTTAACTATTGAAAGTACATTTGCATAAATAGTCTCTGAGTACTGATTATGTGCAATTGTTTGTAAAGTACTGAGCAAACAACTGTATAAATGGTCCTTAGATTGTACTGCACAAGTTGTCGACAGTTTGTAAACAGATCTTTTTAAATAGTTTTCCTGTCGTGGTCCCCATTTACTTCAGTTTTAGGATTTCTTTTTTTTGTTGATCAAAAATCTTTTTATTGCCCTCGACAATGCATAACCAGTGTTTATCATTTAGAAATGGAAAGCAAAAATATATGCACACAACTGAGACGGTAGTTTGTACTGATTGTATGTACAAAGAGAGACAAAATTACAAAGAACACAAACAAACAATAACAACGACTAAAGTAATCCCCTACATTCACTGCCAGTGAGTCTCATACACACGATTATTTACCAGGAACATTGTTAAATGAATATATATGCATGTAATACATATGCATATAGATACATAATAATAATATATTACATTTATGTAGTGCTTTTCCTTGTGCTCAAAGCGCTTTAACATGCAGCAAATACATATACTCATACACATCTACTGTATACATACACATACATATATATGCTGCAGATAAGCTATACCAATAGCAGATTGGATTTCTTTTTTTTTTACTGTCAAAGTTATAACAGATTGTTGATAGGAGTATTTGTGTATATCTATTCCAGCCTTAAAGAGGGTGAAGACCAGAAGGAGATCACCATTGAACCTGCACAGGCTCTGGATGAAGTGGAGCCCCTGCCTGAGGACTGTTATACCAGACCCATCAGCCTACCAGAGGGTAAGACTTAGTTTGGAGCGTGGTAAAGAAATCTGATCATATGTGTTTCTCTAGTTGCATTGAATCTGAGATGTGTTGTGTCCTCACAGTGACCACACTGCGCCAGCGTCTCCTGCAGCCGGACTTCCAGCCTGCCGGGGCGTCTCAGCTGCACCCCCGACACAAGCACCTGCTGATGAAGCGCTCACTGCGCTGCAGGGTCAGTACCTCTCCAGGGTCTTACTCCACTGTATCTGTCGAAGGCTGTTGTTTTTATGAAGATTATATTGAGATAATAATCTTCTTTCTTAATTTCCTCCTCCAGAAATGTGAGCACAACTTGAGCAAGCCAGAGTTTAATCCTACTTCAATCAAGTTCAAAATCCAGCTGGTGGCTGTGTGAGTATTAGATCCTTAACATGCGTCTTCATAATGATGCTGATCCTTTTTTAAATGATATAAAAATACAAACCAGCCTGATGTAGTTTAATAAGATGAAGTTCCTAAAGTTACAGTGTTGCCAAATGTAACTGTAAACACATGTCCAGGAAATGATCCATGCAAAGTTATCTTTTTAAAGTAAAATAACCAAACTATACCTGATCCATGCCATAATGTCCTGGATCATAAATCTGTCTTGTGTTTTCCTTATGGTTTGCTCCATTCTGTGCAAAAAACGTGTGCATGTTAAGTGGTTGACATTTAACTCTTACTATTACAGATCCACTCTCAACTCTTAGTGAGAGTGGTTGTGTTAAATAATAAATAAACAATCTGTGTGTTTGGGTGTAACTGTAATTGATTGGCATTTGCCCGTTTGTTCCACAGGAGCTACATCCCTGAAGTGAGAATTATGTCCATTCCAAACCTCCGGACCATGAAGGTCAGTGTGCACACTGCTTGGGACATCTTGTGTATATCTTTGACATGTTTTATTAATCCGTTTGTATTTAAAACCTTGAAAGGCTGAGACTATAACATACTACTCATACCAGCTATTCAACTTTGTAATGTTTTAATAATAATCAGTAACTCAGCTTTTGAGTTTTAGTCAGTCTCTTTCTTTATTGGCCTACATTGCTTTGCAGTCCAGCTATTGAACGGTTACTCAGATATATAACAAAATGCATAATTCATAAAAGACAAGATGAAGAAGGAAATGTTCACCTAGTACAGAGGCTAGAAGTGAATTGTTGACAAGGTTTAAACGCTAAGTAAACATTGCTTTTCTTAGTAAATGTCAGTCCAGTGTGGATTAGGAAGCACCTGCTCGCTACAGCATCCCTGATCAGCTCAAAACATTGTCCTTTGTTCCTCTACATTTAATACATGGTTTATTTTAATGATCAACTCAGCTTGAAAGGTAATTTGTCTTGTTCCCCATCCTGTCTATCTAGGAGAGCCAAGTGCTGCTAACCTTGACCAACCCTGTGGAGAACATCACACACGTCACTCTGTCTGCTTGTGAGGACGAGGATCCTGATGATATCAACAGCACTGCTAAGGTAGTGAAGTACTCTGATTCTTAAGATGTTGTTAAATTTAAAAAGGTGTTTCTCATGACAAACATGTGGAGCACTATCACCCAGCTCTGCTGTCTAACAGCCAAAACACTAAAGGTATTTTAAAAGCTATAACTGTCAATCTGGGCCTGGATTGTCTGCAAAATGCTCTCTCCTCTAATGTCACAACCACACATGAAGATGGCCGAGCCCAAATGGCTACACCTAGCATTGCTAACAGTGCTGACAGAGCAAACAGGGATAACCAGGTGGGGATCCAGAGCTTCAGTGTTGCATTTGAATAACGTAACCGCTGATTGGGCTTGATGCAGGGAGGTGACCATAAGTGAGTCAGTGGGACATGAAGGCAGAGACTCACATGCTGTAATAGTGTGTTAAAGTGAGTGAGGGTTATGGGTGCTTATAAAAAGAGGGAAGAAGAGAACCAAATTGGAACAAAAACTGGTGCATGCTGGGAAGGGGAGTGAGATTGTTAGTAGAAGCCAGGGCTCTATAGACAGTAATGCCTCCTTGCCACCAGGTATCTGGAAAACAAGACAAATGACAGATCAGCAGGGAAAGGCTGGGGTCGTCGCAGGTGAGCATTTGGTTCCATGTCGACTGCTGGGTACACAGTTGTTTACTAAAACCACTTTATGAGGCAATAATAATTCAGGGCGGTTTGTTTATTAGCTTGTTTTTTTGCACATGGAGCTTTAACTGCTGGAAAGAGCATTATGGCTGGAATAGAGAATATAAGAAATGTGCACAGACACACAAGGTGGCAGTTGTTCACCACCTGCTGCCTGCTCTTAAATCTTGCATATTATATAAAGCAGTTCCTGCTACGTTACCAGCCAGCCTCAGCGAGCGCAGGGCCTTCTGCTGCTTCACCCGCCTGTTCCTTCTGGAGGAGCTAGCCTGGTCATTCTCTCATATGCAGAGCAGTTGGGTCCCTTTTCCACCTCCATCTGTCAGCTGTCACACGCACAGCTAAGAGAGCCGTGTTCCTGCGGTAAATGGTCTGCTGAGCTGCCAGTTGCTGCGAGGCTCTCTGTGACTACAGGCTGTTTGTGTTGGCCTCTTTAGCGATGAAGTCATCGGCCAGCCTGGGTAAGAAAGAGCTCCTGGCCAAAACAGAGCATCTTCATGACCCATTTCCATTCACATCCAGGCCGAACTCAGTGTGCAGTCATGCCATTCTGCTTGATCAGATATTCAAACACCTAAGGGGCGGCATGAATCAGGTTCATGCTCGGTTGGTTTTTATCGACCAGCTCTTTCCAAAGCCTACTTCGATGTCCCCTAACATGCATAATTAATACGACAAAACATTACGTAATGTTTGCTGATGACTATAGGGGAACAGTTTATTTATTTTACCGGTAAATGCAATCCAAAGCACTTCTCTTCCCCCACAAATAGCACTAATATGACTGGTTTGTTGTCTAGGCAGTGCGCACAGAAATCCCTTTTGGGAGACTTTCACAAGAAATCTGAAAGTAGCAGCAAAACCTTAAGAGCTGTAAGTAGAGCTTATAGAAACTGAAAGGTGAACATTAAAGTGGTCATTCATTGAGCCCCAAGCTTATGTCAAATGTTCTGAGGAGATAGGATCACAGCCAACATTGTAAAGTGATTATTTGGGTCTTTATTATAGCTATAACCTCATCTTTTATTTCCTGTCTTTGCAAATTGTTATGCGTCTGTTAATTTAATAATAATGTCTTAAAGTTGTCCTTTCTACAACCTTAAGTCATAAAATGATGCTTAAACTCAGATTTGAGCTATTTAACTTTCCCCCCTCACCAGATGAACTTTTTTAAACAGCCTTCGAGTGACACATTCTACACATCCATCACTCTGCACAGTGAAGGTCAAGCTTTCAAGTGAAGCAACGAGTAAATCACATTTTTCAGTCGAGGGGGATTTTTACATCTGTTTTTCCAAAACACACACTTTGACATTGGTATGTTTCAAAAGAGAGAAGCTTTATGATGTTTGAAATCTAGGTTGAAAGTCACTGAATGGTGAAACTTTTGGGTTTATTTCAGGTTATGGTACCCAGCAAAGAACTGGTGTTGGCGGGGAAGGATGCTGCCGCTGAATACGATGAGCTGGCTGAACCTCAGGACTTCCAGGACGACCCAGAGTAAGTTAACACACACTCACAAAGAATTAGAAGTGTGTGTGTGAGGTAACTCTTAACCTGAACCCTCTGTTTATTCCGCAGTGTCGTTGCCTTCAGGAAATCCAACAAGATTGGTTTCTTCATCAAAGTGATCCCCCAGAAAGAGGAGGATGGGGACGTCACCGTTTCATTTAAGATTCGACACGACTTCCGCAACCTTGCGGCCCCCGTCAAGCCGAGCGAAGAGGGGCCCGAGACCCCCGCAGAGGCAATTTGGCTGACACACCACGTGGAGCTGAGCCTGGGACCGCTCGCTCTCTGAACACAAATAATTCTATCACACAGTGCTAGTGTTGGGTTCTTTGAACTACTTTCTGTAAACTGTGGGATGCGTTTAGTTTTTAAATGAATTCTGATTCTGCTTATTGTCATTTAAGAGTGATTTGTGATCTGTTTGGCATACAGTGGGCGTTAGCTCAAGGTGCGTCAGCAAAAACATTGTGATACATTTAGTCATTGTGCGATAGCTGAGTTTATAAAACTACATGAAACCATGACTGATAATTGCTTAAGATTTAACTTGATTTGCTTAAGATTTAACTTTATCTGATTTGCTGATATCTTGTTGGTTTTTGTTTCAAAAAAGCAAATGATATGTTTTTTTACAACCTGATTGTCCTCAGCTTAAACAATATCATTTCATTAAATAGCCCCTTTCAGTAATCTACAAGATGCACAACCTAATACATAGTTAAAATAAAAAATGTGTTGTATACATACAATATTTTCTTAAATTGGAAAGCAGCTATGTATGCTTTGTCTTATTCAATGTAAATGCTCTGGATTTCTTTCTTTAGTGGTATGGTTGAGCTTTTTAATGTATGTGGGAAACAGCAGTTTGCACAAAGAGGAGTGATTGGTTCTACATTATTATTATTATTATTATTATTATTATAACACCATAGAGATTACAGAAACAGAAATTGGGTGATGAGCAGAATCAGAAATCCTAACTGAGAACAATCTGAACATTTCCCGCCTGAGCAGCAATCTCTTCTGCGCTTTCAGCTTATGTATCCTCATCAACATCCCTTTACGCAGACTGTAATATCGTAATAACTCGCATGCTTCAACTCTAGTGAATATCGCACATGTAAAACAATATCATCACAGTTACTTTTTTCTCATTTGAAAGGTTTTTTTTTTTAAGGTGATACCTGCTCATACAGTAACCCCCACTGGCACTTTGGAGAGGATGAAGCTCTGTAAATGACATGAAAAGCAAAGTGTTTATTATTTAAATGTACTCAGACACTATCTTTTTTTTTCTGATTAAAAATAAATGTATCCTTCTGGTTTGTAGAAGTATAAGTAAACAAGCTGCTTCCATATTTGGTCTCCAGTGTGTTAGTAGAACAGAGCCTTACAACACAGTTAACCTTCTGTACCGGCTAATAAAATAATGTGATACTGTAACACGCCTTGTGACTTTTTTGTTGTTGAGCTATGATGATTTGAAGCAGGTGAACGTTTGTATTATGAATTAGGACTGAGACCCATCATGACTTGAAACTCTCTTTGTGGTGTTATTTTCACTCTGACCACAGGATGGCGCTGCAGGCAAACAGTTTTTAGCTGCATGGAAGAAAGCTTTGACAGGACGAGAGCATACAGGGACATGATTGTGTGATCTTGAGTTACCCTACACGCTGAAACTGTATGTCTGATTGACAGAGGAGACATTTGGATCCAGGCAGAAACATTTGGATAACAATCCAACAATGCTGGATGTTTCTCCTTCAGGATGTGAGTCATGGGGATACAATGTCAACATTGGGAGTAGATAATAATGGAATGTGTGTTCCAACAGGAACCATTTGTATTTACCAGATATTATTACCTCTCAGTGATGCCTCGCACACACTGGGACAGTTTATCCTCTAAAAGGCAGATCAGATGTGTGGGATGGGGCCTGTTGAAGCTCTCCAATGAAACCCGTCTGCTGGGTAAACAGACCCACTCCCTCTGGGTAATAAAGCCATGATTTTCTTTTATCTTTCGGCAGATCTAAACAGCTCAGAAGAGTGGCCTGTGAAAGTGCCATAAATCACCACAGAAGATGAGGTAATAAAGCACACATGGGGCGAGTCCGTACCACTGAAACAGTCCAGACCCCCCCTTCAGGCCCAGCTGATGAGAGCAGTAGCTGACTCAGTGCACAGCAGCCAAGTGTTGTACCTGCACCTGCTGGAGGTTCCTTTCATTCATGCTGGGAATATCATAGTTTTGTTAAACTTGTATACTGACGGCCAGAGGTGTGAGAAATACTCAGATCTTGTACTTGAGTAAAAGTAGAAGTACCAGAGTGTAGGTATACTGTGTTGAAAGTAAAAGTCCTGCATTCAAAAGGTTACTAAAGTAAAAATTAGCATCAACATATACTTAAAGTACCAAAAGTCAAAGTAGTCACTGCAGATCTGTCCATTTCAGAATAATATATAGTATATGTTTTGATTATAATTATTTATGCATTAAAGTGTTTATCAAAGCTGGTAAAGGTGCCGCAAGTTTTAAAGACTTTGTATACTGCAGGGTAGCTTGTGAATTTACTCCAGGTGTAACTAAAGTCTGGTTTAAGGGTTGATTATATAATATTACACATCATTAATGCAAATCTAAAAAGTAACTAAAGGTATTAAATAAATGTAGGGGAGTGAAAGTACATGATTTACCTCTGAATTGTACTGGAGTATTCAAGTACAAAGTAATACATTAGAAGAATCTTAAAAGTGTACTAAAGTACAGTACTTGAGTAAACGTACTGAGTTACCTCCCACCTCTTTTGACTGCTATAATTGAAGTAACATTTGGAATTGAATTGCATATGGCAGTGGAGATTGTTTGCAGTAACCTTCCAACTCATGAACAGACCTTGAATGATTCCCAAAAAGCACCGTCTGGAAGATAAGTTCTGGATTTCTTCTGGTCAGGATAATATTTTCCTAGATCAAGACTGCAGTTATTTCATGCTCAGCAACACTGGGCTCTTATTTGTAGAACCTCACACTGTAAACAGCACAGAAAGCTGACCTGTGACCATGTTCATGGGGATTAGAAATGAATATGAAGGTTCTCCGGCAGTGTTGAGTAGGTGAGTGAAAGGGCTTTCATGTCTATCCTTTCCTCTGTTTTTCACTCTTCTGAAGACTTACATCTTTATTTATAAAGACAGACCCGGCCAGCCTTGACCAGATGAGAAATTCCTCACTGAAATACAAGTTTGACTGCACCCGGGACCTTTCCACAATTACGTCATCCGCCCAAACCGCAGTAACTCACCCACAGAATAAGCATGACACAAACGAGCAAAAGAGAAGAAAAACTACACCTTAACAGAGGCAGTAAATTCCCGCCATCTCATAAAAAGATGGCAATTTGAAGACCGCACTGCTGTCATTTGTCTGTATTACATGAGTTAAGGTGTGCTTCATTACATCTACATAGATTTAGCTCATATGATAGTCAGATGAGTCTTTTTTCTCCTGTGTGAACAAGAATAGTTTGGTCTAGTCCTTTTTCTTACCATGAGGAGGAAAAGCACAAAAAGTCCCAAGAGAACGTTCAGCGTCCACTTGCCCCTTTTATATTTAGGTTGAACAGTCAGCCTGGAGGTGCTATGAGTGATTAATCGCCTCCTTCATTTTCTGCTCACCAGACCATCATCTGGTTAATTAGAGGTAATGGATTATGTCTACCCAGATGAATAACTGTAGGCATGTCAGCTTCCAAAGCTGGGAAAACCAAACCTGTGAAACATTAGCTCTTTAGGAGAAAGTATTTTGTCATTTTCTCTCCTTCTCCCTCTATTTCCTTTCACTTTCTTACAGTCTGTATTCTGATGTAAGTTAGTTGGAATGTTGACTTTGGACTGCTGGTTGAAAAAGATCGCTCTGAGAATGCAGCTGACCCTCGACACCCCCTCTGAGCCCCTTCAGACTGCAGGCTGAGGGTCCGCTTTTTGCTTTCATTTATTATTTGCTCAATTGCTCACCGGGCACATTACGTCTGCTTGGGGCACATGGTGTCAGCACACAGGCCTCGGCAGTGCCACAGGTTGGGGGGCCCGGGGGACTTGCCGGAGCCAATGGAGGTCTGAAAGTCTGCTGTTTGCTCTGAATCTTCCCATCCAATGGAGAGAGCAGTGTAGAAGTAGAATAAGACAATCATTTTTAGTCTAGTTTTGTAAAAGATGATGGATAGCCCCAAATGTATGTTTGGAATCACACAGCTGTCTTCTCTCTACCCGAAGAGATAACATTTTTCACAAAGCATAAAGTTTAAACATCATATTACAGCAAATAATGAGTCATTTGAATAAGCTAAGGTTGTGCGCTGGCAGTCAATTAGCCTAGCTTAGCACAAATGCTGGAAAAAGCTAAACAACTTTATCACCGGATTAATCAATGTGATATTAGTACGTTTAAGATGTGCAGGCAGTTGAATTTCCTTTTTATGTTAGGACAGTCAGCGGAGTCCCCATGTTTCCAGACTTTATGCTAAGCTAACAGGCTGCTTGCGGGGTCCCCAGGGTTTTTTTTTTTCCTAGCTCAATATCCTCTCAATAGGAAACATTAAGAATACTTTTCAAACTATTTTATGTTTTCATCAAGTTTTTAACAGCGGTCAAAGGTGCAATGTATGTTTCGCTGGGTGAAAATGTTTACTTCGCCCACAGCTTATAGCTTACTGATTCTCCTCAAATTTGAAGGCAAGACAGTGTCCTTTACCTTTGACATTTATATCTCCAGATTGGCCACAGATTTTGACCATCCCCGCTGCAGTTACAACATGCATTTCCCCGTTTTGCGCTATGAACGACACACTTTTTGCTATCACTTCATCACTATATTCATGTTCTAAGATCATACTGGATCAATCTTCCAATGTATCTATTCGTATGAAAGCTTATTAGTGTATTTTCCAAATAAAATAGCATATACAGTACACTTTTGTGCTGAGTTGTCTTGACCCCTTTAAGATTTGCTTGAGTTTGCTGGCATAGACACGGCGAGGCCCCACTTTCCCAAAAGGCTTACGGTCTCTTTGCACAGACGTATAATTCCAGTCACAGGACATTTCACCCTGGAGCACAAATTACACTCATTTATTTGCTTATATCAGCAAACAGAGCAGAGCTTGAGATCATCTGACATTGAAAGAAAGATTAGAAAAAGAGTCATGCATCTCTGCACCTGCCACACTAAGATCTTAATGCACAAGATAATCCTCTGTGGTCTACTACAAGTATCCGCCCAAACAAGGTTCATTAATTGCCAAAATGAATTACATGCCCGTAAGAAACTCAGCCACACACCAGTAATAATGTAAGTTCAATAAATAGAGGATTCCAATTAGGGCAGCACTTGTTATAGAAGCACTATTGTTGTCTCATCTGGGACGGTATAGCCGGGGGCTTCATGGGCAGCTAAGCCCCATTAGGTCTCACTGAGAGTGCGCTGGCAGCGGAGGACTTGTGGATAGATGCTGAAGACAGAGGCGACTGGTTTCCTCTGTGCAGCCAGCCCTGGGGCATGCAGCCCAACCCACAGAAGCCCAGCCCAAAATGACCCAGCATTGCACCACAAATACTGTATATCCACATCCAGTGTACACACAAGTTCCCATCACTGAGCAGTGCCGTATTTCACCCCAGAGAGGCTGAGTTAAATCAATGTAGGGAATCAATGAGAGCTTCATTGGATTTACCGTGCAGGAATATGAAATGTCAAACTGTCTCTGTGGATTTGTTGTAGACTCTATCAGTGGCACATTTTTCAGACTGAAGAGGCCCCACTGTAGATAGACTTGATGAGTCGACAGCAAGATGTTTTAAAGCCTTTAAATCCACATACAGTGTTAATTTGTTTGTTCTTGCAGGATTACAGCTTTACACATGATTATACTTTTTCCTTTATTGCACATGAGAGATATTCATTATTGTAAATGTCCCCACTGTGGGACTAATAAAGGATTTCTGATTATATATAAGATGTATGGTGAAGTTCCCAACCCGGGGCATCCCAAGATAACTCTTTCTTGTGGATTATTGGATGCTTTCACCTCTTCAGGGCTTAGACAATTCATCAAATTAGACACATCCATAAAGGAAAAACATCACTTCTCCCATCCCATGAGTAGAGTTCACACGTTGGTCACCAAATCCTCCCCCTTTATAGCTGTTTTGTGATTGTTGATTTGTGTTTTTTTTATATACTGCTATCTAGATCAATCCATATTACATTTTTAAAATGCTCAATTAAAATGTCCATTTAAATTAAAGCCATCACATATTAAAACGAGTTTTCTGTATGTGTCCCTTAATATGTGTACAATTGCAATGTTGACACACCCAGTTTGTTTTCTACTTTCTCATGCCATAATGCCATTTACCCCCTATAAAAATAATGGATCAGTCC